ACAGGGGCTGTCTCTGACAAGATCTCAGTGGCTGGCTCTTTGATCACCTCCCCCTCAGTGGGGAGCAGCCTTACCAGGCCACAGAGGAAGACAACGCAGACAGTACGCATGAGACCTGATAAGCTAGGGTCAGATGGAAGGGGAGGAGGACCTCCCCTTTCAGTGGACTGGAGGAGGGGCATGGGAGAGAAAAGGGAAGGGAGAGCAGGATTGGGAGGGAGCAAGGGGGGGCTATAGCTGGAATACAAAGTGAATAAACTGTAATAAATAAAAAATAAATTAATTAAAATTTAAAAAGACAAAATAAATCAATAAAATAACAGCCTTCAAAGCCATCCTTCACTGGGTTCCACTAAAACAATTCTGAAAAAATAAAAATAAAAACTTCTGTATGGCATGTCTTAGCCTAAGCCAGAGCAGGAAGGATAGGAAGGAATTTGCTCTAGAGCATGTTAGAGTAAAGAGATGATGTGGTTGCCTGGCTAGAGAAATACCGGACGGATGAGGCTGAAGACAAGAGGCAAGGTTATCAATGCAGGGTTTCTAGTAGTTCACACAATTGTGTGGTCATCTGTTCACTGTACCTGAATGTCCTCCCCTCCCTTGTTGTGTCCAGATTCTAAGTATCCCCTGAAGACCTAGCATAAGCCCACATCTTCCTCTAACCCTCCCTATTCTACCCCAACTTCTGAAGGAACCCAGAGGCCTGTCCTGGGATCTGCTTCCCTTTACCTTGAAGCATTTATGTGGATACTTTAACATGTTGTATGTCCCTAAGAAAAACTGATACTAACATAGAACATACTGTTACTTCCAGTTTACATATGGTACCCTCAGAGAAATAAGTGATTTTCCTGATGCCAAAGAAACTTCATCTAAGGTCAGTCCTTTTGCTCCAAGTTCCTAATACCACTCCTGTTTTTTATTTCCTATGAAAGCAGACAGTTCCTCAAAAAGGAAGTTGGATTTCGGTATCTCTAATGAGTAAACTGCATTTACTCATTAAATTCAATTGTAGTAAATTTAATTCTAGTAATTGTACACAGACTGAACTTGCTGTCTCTTAGGGGAGGACCTCAATCCTTAAATTCTTACCCCCTTCTGTTAGGGAAAGCTAAGCGCCTTTTAACACGCGCAGACACTGGGCTATCTCCTTCGGAAACTTCGCCAAATTACCTGATGTATTGCCAGACCCATACACGCCAAGGTTTTCTCAGGGGCATCTCTTAGCGCATTTTCTAGATCTGGCATCAAGTTAGTCATTTCATCATCTTTTGTCAGTTCTTTAAAATCCACCAAAATGCTTCCCTTTCTTTCTATTTCATCCTATAAAATATTAAATTTAAATATAACAATTGCTTTTTTGAGTCAATGTTCATAACTGAGCATTTAGTATACACTTTCAGAATGCATATGATAATCATATGGTAATAATTCTGTCTTATTACATAGTATAATACTGGAAATATATTTAACAAACTTTTGAAGTTGGTTTTTATAGCAGTACCTCCAAGGATGAGAAAAGCAGAGGCTGTAATTCCCTGAAGTCCACACTGCCGGCAGACGGCAGAGCCAGGATCTCAGTGACAGCCACGGCACTCCAGTGCACATGCTAGCTAGCACCTCAAACACACTGTCCAGGTCACATAAAGGCAGACTGCAACACTGCTACAGAAAGCACTCACCTTATCATATAAGTCAATATGCCTTGTGAAAAATTTCTCAAACGCTTCAATCTTCTCAATAAAAGGAGAGTTAGTACTGTAAACTAATCCAACAAATATATCGTTAGCACCAATAATCACACATGGAAGCATTTTCGTATTTGTGAGACAGATCCCTAGAAACACCATAAATTTTCCTCCTTACTTTATATTGTGGTTACATTTGAATAAATACTGGTATGAATACTTGAGATTCTAAAAAACTAATATCTGAATAATCTAAAATACATATAAAAGTTCAAATATTTGAAAAAGTTTCAACTGAGTCTTAGATTCATCAAAGAATATATCAATTCAGATATCTTAGACAACAAATTTAAACTCAACATTATGATAAATGCAAAGGTATACACATGACAATCACTACCTTTGCAAAGTAAATTCTATTAGTTCAAACTGCCACTTGTCAAATTATTTACCAAGATCTGGACACAGACCAATGCTTAACTGTAATCTCAAAATTATAATGCTATTTTTTTAATATTACAAAGTTTTACGATTAAATTTCTCACAGAAACCGTCTAATGAAATGCAGCTGGGTTAACATTAAGCAAGGTAGCTCTTGAACTCCAGCTTTAGTAATCTAAAGGTCACTTCAGTACTCTGAGCTAACTATTAGGGCAATAATGAAAATGTTGTTAGTTAATGTAGCATAAAGAAACAAAGGGTCTTCTATGAAACACATATATCAAATTAATAGGGAGGAGAAAAGGCATTCATTCATAGAACAAACACTGAAAACCTGTCACAAGACAAGATCCTTGGCCACAAGCGCTACAGTATACTGGAGGGAAAACCCATGGCTACAAATAAAAGCAAGAACAGAAGCCACACCTCACATGAAATATAGCACATATGATATGTATGATATGATGTGGCATATAACATACAACCATAAGAAGTCAGAAGAGCATCATCACACTTCACAGACGTGTCTGGTGGTAGACAGTATTCTTCCCTACACAACCTTAAGTGCCATCCCACTGTCCCAAGCCTGTTAGTGTTTCCTGCTGTGGCCCTGATTGACATCTGTGCCCAGGTTCCCACACAGCCTTAGCTTCAGCCAACTGGAGACACTGTAAGGACCAGAAGGTGGGAAGATGTATGAGAGAAACTATTCTTGTTTTCATTCTTTTTTTACTTTTAAGCGTATGTGTGTGTTTAAGAGTATGGCACATGTGCAGGTATTTACAGAGGCCAAAAGTGGGTTTCAGAGTGAGCGTCCCTCCGGGAGCCAAGCTCAGAAGAGCAGACATGCCCCTAGTTGCAGTTCTTTTCAGCACTGCCAGAATAGCTACAGTTCCAGGCTCCAGCAACATCTGATCCATCCTCCATTACTAGTGACGACCAGCTTCGTTCATCTCTGTTCTGTTCACTACTTTCTGGGAGGTGGCCTCACTATTCCCTTTCTGCTTTTTGAGTCCTCCATATACATACCCAATTAAATACTTTTTAGAAACACCAGTTTGTTTTCCTGATACATATATTAAAAAAAAAAAAAAAAGCCCTAACAAATGTTTGGAAGAGCAAAAGGCATACAGCAGAAACTCAACCAAATCATGGTAACATAAAATCATAAAATGTAGTATCCGAAAATGAGTATGTACTTCATGGTTCTGCTTTAACTCTACCTTCGGAGAAGTAAAGCTTCCAGCCCTTATACGGTATAAACTGATCCAGTGTTGACTGCTGAAGTAAAGGTGATGAAGCTTGTTCTGAAAAAGTAGAGCATGTCAGTAAAAACAGAGCACTGTTCCCCTCAGCTAGTTTCTCCTTTCACACAAGTCTCTCAGTAGACTCTAAATTGGCTATCTCACTAAGAAGTATACATATTAACTTTCAGGCTGAAGTTTGAGTTAAACCGTCCTGCTGTCTACTGGGCATGAATTGCTTCTTTATTATTATTATTTTTTTACATTTGTTTTATGTGTATGTGTTGTGGACCCACACATGGCAGCAGTACATGTGAGGAGGTCAAAGGGCAGCTTGCTGGAGTGGGTTCTCTCCTTCCAGTGACCTAACTGAGGGTCCTCAGGCTCGGTGGTAGGCCCCCTTACCTACTCAGCCCTTGAATTGTTTCTTTCCTGGGAGAAAACCACTGATCATTGATGGCACTCACCAGAAGCATGCTTTCCTGTAGCTTTCCTCACACCAGCTCCGTGTTCTCTTTCTCTCCACCTTCCTGAGTTCCCACCAACTCTTCTCCAGCTTTGAAATCTTCCTCGTCCAAAACCCCTCCCTCTATATGCGCCACTCATGCTAAGTCACCAGCCCTCCTAGAGCTCTATTAACATAGTAAAAAGGGGGAAATTAATGTGTTGTGTTTGAGACTAGCACATAGGTTTCAAAGTTCCATGCTACAGCATAAACCTTATGTGTTGTGTAGTTATTCTTTTAATCTCCATCACAATTGAAAGTACACCATAGATGCTTATTCAGCACCAGTTTTCCAGGAAACCACTAAGAGAAATAGAGACAGTAACGCGTTTGCTGTGTTCGAGACTAACATTGGGCGGTTCTAGCTGAAGCTAACCCTCACTGTGACACTAGGGCAACTTTACCGGCCAATCGTTGTTGTATTAGTTTCTGTGGCAAGCTGTTCTAAAACTGCTCTAACCATTCCGCTCAAAAGTTCTTGTCCCATTGATGCAAACTACTAATGATGCACTGTGGTGCAATGCATTAGAAGAGCCTGTTCTAGTCTTAAGAGGATTTAGTTAATAACTAATATGTTCGCAGATAAGCAAACTAATAAAATTTAACGTTGTCTGTGATAGCCCTGGGATAAAAACCCGTCTTCAGGACCCTCGAAATGAGACATTCCGACCCAACATGATAACATACTGATAATGGGGGCAATTCCAACATCTGTATAGGGAAACAGGCCTGAGAAGAGCCACCCGCTATCCTCGACTGCATTCACATCCCCTTCTTCCTCGCGTCCTGCCCGCGGAAGTCCCCGCGCCCTCCCAGTCTGCGATGCGGCGGCGGGCGGTGCGCACTCCCACGCACGGACTCGCGGACCCTCCCGCGTCGCCGCGCGCCACGCGGGGCGGGAAGGCCCGGCGCCGCGCCTCAGCGTAAACTCCGCGGCCCCTCCAACTTCTTTTTCCGCGCGGCTACGACGCGCGGCTGCGTACGGAGCCACGCGATTGGAGGACGGGACGAACTGTAGCCAATCAGAGCGCTCAGCTGGACGGAAGTTGCAGGGCCCCCGGAAGCCGCCCCGAGGGCCGGACCGGAAGGCGGAAGAGGCGTGCAGCACGTGGGGGCGGTGCCGGCACAGGCACAGGTCTCTGTCGGCTGAGCCGCGCTGCTGGCGGCTGGAGCGGAGGCGGAGGTTGGCGGCGGTCTGGAGTCCATGGAGCCATCAGCGGAGCAGGCGAGCCCACAGCCCCCGCACCCCGGGGACCACTGCATCCACGACGGCGACTTCGTGGTGCTGAAGCGGGAAGATGTGTTCAAAGCAGTGCAAGTCCAGCGGAGAAAGTGAGTCAGGCTACCGGCCTTGGGCAGCGCGCACCGCCACGCAGAGTCACTCCGTCTGTGTCCCACTCTTGGCTCTTCGAATCCCGCTCCCCAGCCACCACTCAAGTCTTCCTATCACTCAGGCCTCTTCCCGCCGGGATCCTTTTTGCATCCTCAGCCTATGGGATCTCCTTTGCACCTTTCTCGTCCTACAGCACCCACCTCTACCTTCAGCGCCAGATTCCCTTCCCAAGAATGCCATTCTAGGTGCTCTCACCCCTGAGGGTGATCTCCCTAGTCCTAGGGTCGTCTCTATTACAGAACTTCTCCAGCCTTTCTGCGTTCAAATCTCTTCATTATATCTGACTCTCCTCCCAGCTCCCCACCTTCCCCACAAATTCATCTTCTCCGTAAAAGAGAAGGGAAAGGAGTGAGAGAGATCTCTTACGGCTAGCTTGGCTATCTGTCTACTGAAAGAAAAGGCAACTTCCTACAGTGGGCAGTCATTCTGAGCCCTTCATTTTACCCCAAGGTATTAAAGGTCCAGGAAAATCGAATTGTTCCCAAGCAGTTCATTCGAGCTCACAGTTCATACTTCGGCTTGGTAACTTACTCACAGAGCTGATTAAGTTACTTGCTCCTAATAGCTTTTAATAGAGTTTATTGGGTTATTTAGGTTAATTTGGATACAATGAAGTTTTCTTTTGAGCTGATTGTAATGCTGCTTTATTTGCGTGATTGTTGGAGTTCTGAGGTTCTGTGCGTACTAGGCAGGTGCCCTGCCGCCCAGTCACATTGCCAGTCCTGTAATACTCCTTGCAAAGAAGTAAACCACGCAAGGTCGGGAGAACAGCTTTGTGTGGGTCGGAAAACTGGACACCGTGAGATCTGGAATCTCTTCTAACGCTTGCATCGCATAAGTTATTTTACTGTTGTTTGATTCAAACCATTGCATGGTGTCTGAAGAGCAGCCGTAAACAGTAAAAATGGGTGGGGGTGTGGCTCACCTGCTAGAGGGCTGTCTGTCGAGCTCGAAGCCCTGGGTTTGGTCCCCAGCACTGCATAAATGGACTGTAGTGGCCAACATGACACTATCTCAAACATGATAATAATAAAACCAGTTAGACAGGCAGCAGTGTGCATCAAGCTGGTTGGTAGCCAACATTTTTTGGCACAAGCACGATTTGATAAAGGAAAAAAAGATCAGAGGGACAGGGTGTTCAGTTGTCTGCACCAGTCTTGAGCATTTTTAAATTCTCCATTGGTGAGATTCTATTTTGGTATTTGAAATTAGAGAAAGTTGTCCTCATCATATATATATTTTGTATTCTTGAAGCTAGTGTTTTGTTGTTGTTGTTGGTTTTTTTTTTCCTTTTCAGAATTTTAAATTAGAAATTCACTGGCTAGTTACAAGGACATAGGTTTTTAGAAATTTCCAACATGTAAATTATTTACACATTTTAGCCAAAGCATAGTGCTTGGGTGGTAAGCACATATTTTGGCGAGTGAGCCCAGCATGCATGTCTGTGCTGGCTGATGGCCAGGTGAAGCATAGTTTTCTTTAAACACTTTCTTTCCTGCCTCCCAAGTGGTGGGATCTCAGGTCTTCTAGCTACACCACACTCAGCTTGCTTCATGTTCAGACACCAGCTCTTTCAATGTCCTTTTTATAAAGTGGCTCTGTTAGATGATCCTTTTCATTCCCAATGAGACAGACAGTATCTGTAGTTATAAAAAGTACTTTTGTTTGTTTGTTTGTTTGTTTAGATACACAGAAAATATGTCTCAAAAAGCAAAAACCAAAACAATATTTTTTTAAATTTTTGTATGTTTCTGCATGTGTACATGAATTCAGGTGCCCTCAGAGGCCAGAAACTTTAGATTTCCTGTAATTGGAGTTACAGCCATTTGTAAACCAAAAATGTGGATGCTGGGAACTGTAAAAGGAACTTTTATTCCCCTGTTTCAATTGTTGTCTCGGAGGCTTACTGCCTCTGTCTGCTAACCTAGGCCGTGTCCTGGAAGTTTCTAGCCTCTGTACTATCTAATCTAGGCCTAAAATGTTTTCTCCCGCTGAGTCTTAACTGCTGAATAAGCTCACACTTTCTTGGTCTTTCTGAGCTTTGGTGGCTCATTCAATTCAGCTGTTCTGGCTCAAACTCCTCTCCCAGCTAACTTATTCAGTCTGGCTTTTCTCTTGGCCTCTGAATTACTCTGCTTGGCCTCAAACTAACTCCAGCAAATTTTTTCTAATCTCCTGGCTCATTTTCATTCTCTGGCTCCTTTGGTCTAAGAATAAGTCTAGCTTATTCTTTCTCTGCAATATGTCTATTATTGTCCCAGTAAAACTGTCTGTCTCTCCCTGCCACCCATTGCCTGTTAAGTAGTTTCCCTTTCCTCTCTCTTCTCGTGAGAGTTGGGCATATCTTATTCTGCCAAGTCTTTCTCTGATTTATCACTTTTTCTGCCACTTAATTAGACATCACTTTCAAACATGAGTGCATCCTACAAACTAACTTTACCTTCATTGTTTGGGAGCAAAGGCATATACCACTATGCCTAGACCTAAGCTTTTCTTTACCTGAAACTTGCTCTATACTAAGCTGGCCTTGAATTCAAATCTGCTTGCCTCTGTCTCCTGGATTATAGATGTGTTTTGTATTCCAGCCAGATCACACAGACCTAGGAGATCTTTGGATGTGATCTTTTGCCAGAGCAGCCATGTTCTGAATTAAAAATTTCTCTACAGGAAACCAAAGTCAGGTCCTCTGGAAGAACAGTAAGTGTTCTCAACTGCTGAATCATTTCTCCAGCTTCCTAAATTATTTGGATGTTCTTTTTACCACACCTCTTCTTGAGAAAGCCATGATGGTAATTTTTGTTTCATCCAGAAAATGACCTGCTGCACCCAGCTGCATTCCAAGCCAGACTCCCTCTCACTTGAGCTTTGATTCTCTCTGCAGATCTCACTCAGGAGGCATACAGCTCAGTTATTCATCAGATTGCTTCCCACAGTTTCCTGCCTGAGCTTTGAGGCCAGTCAGTTTGAGTGAATACCTCCCTCCCTGCCTTTGCACATAAGATAGGCAGGCTGAGGCATAAGTCAACCCAGCTTTAGTGTTTCATTAACACCTACGTGCTTAAAGGATGCAAATAGCAGGTACAAATCCAGCCTGAGATGAGCATATTTTTGTTAGTTCCTGGAAACCCAGGCGAGAATAAAGGTTGGGTGTCAAGAGTACTTTAAGAGTACAAGGAACTTTGGTCAGGAGGTTCAAGTGACATATGATGAATGGTGCTTGGGGAGATGGCTCAAATGGTAAAGCTCTTAGCCACATAATCAAGGGTCTGGTCGTACATACCTGTATTCCCAGTATTCCTACAGCAAGGTGGAGACAGAAACAAGAGGCTGTTTGAGGGCTGCAAGCCAAGACAACGGAAAACCTTGTCTTGGAACAAAGATGGAAGGCAGCAGTCAGCACCTGAGTTCATCTTCTGACTTCCACATGCACATTGTAGTACACAAACACACATACATGTACATACACCACACACACAATAAAAGTAGATACAATTTTCTTAAAGGATGAATATACAAAATGTGGCAGGATAGAGAACCCAAAAGGAAAGATGAGAGAAGAGAACAGTGAGTGGGGCACTAACAGTATTCAGCAGGACAGGGCAGGTCCCAGAAATCGGATTTCTGTGCGTGTAAGCCAGGCTCTGGAGCTTCCTTAGGTACAAAGCTTTTGTTTGTGTTGATGGTGCTATGTGATACAGAAGAAAACTGCAAATATGTGTGAATCCCACTGCTTTAGCTACACACACACACACACACACACACACACACACACACACACACACAGCAGGTGTCATTGTATATTATGTGGCACACATCAGTTCATCCCAGAAATGCGACCCACAACAGACCAATGTAATGACTGCACGGTGAGTTTGGTGGGCCGATGAGTAGTTTTTAGTTGGAGTTATGGGAAGGGGTTATTTACAAGGAGCAGGGATAATTGAAAAGCAGCTGCATCATTAGAAAGCCCACTCCACATGGCTGACTACTTCCAGCAACCTGCAACCCTGATGCTGCTCGCAGCTCCACAGCTGAATTTCTCTCAGCAGCCTAACTGATCAGTTCTACTCTCTACACTCACCCACGTATGCCAGGGGACCCTCAAGAATCTCCCAAGTTTTTGTTCCCCAGATATGTGACCTTTACTTATCCCCCGAGGCTGGTGAGTGTCTCCTTCCCTCCTAGATGACATATTCAGTTTGAAGGGGATGTTATAATTCAGAGAATTGTAACATCCAATCTGGCCTGCTACTTGGCATCTTTCCACCTCTGCCTCCTACATGTTGGGCGTAGTGTGTAGGGCCACACCGGGTAACTGAATCTTGAACAGTATGCTTTTCCCTGGCCCTCGGATTTCTGCCCTGGAAAGGGGCATCTGAGGATGACTCTGAGTGAGAAGTGTGCACACACTGCTTAGCATCTGGTTGTGACTCAGCAGGTGCTCGTCTTCTTTCTTTGAAAGGAAAGGGCTTTTGTTGTGTGCTTCCCTTTGAAGTGGCTGTAATGTCCAGGCCTGAGTGATAGGAAAGTCTAATGCCCAGCCTCAGCAGTATGTTATCAGTTCAGTCCTTCTCCCGTGTGGAGATTACCAGTACGGTTTATTTCTAAGACAGCTCTTTTGGACTTGCTACTTTTCTAATAGAATAGCCAGTTCAGCAGAGACCAAGGCATTTTTAAAATTGTCTTCATCTCAGTGACCATTTTGGGGGGGATTTTCTAGTGTTGGTTGCATACTCATGCATGGTCTGGAAATCTTGTCAGTCACACCTGTTGGACTCTACAGAATCTGTGCGTTTAAGCATTCAGGGTGACGATGTAAAATACAATAAGACCTCTACCCCTCAAAAGAAATGTCTTTTTTTCTTCTGGAAGTCGATGTTTTCCTAGCTTCTTTATTTATGCTTATGTCTCTCCCCAACCTGTTTCTCTCTAGTTCATTTGTCAGTTTATACTTACAGAAATGGTGCTGTTAACCATTCATCATGAGAACTCTCTTAAATAAAGTAGACTAGAATGAAAGCACCTTTCATAGTGTCAGTGCAGAAGAAGCCCATTGATTGGTTGCTTTTCCTTCCTCAGGAAAGTAACTTTTGAAAAACAGTGGTTCTACCTGGATAACGCTGTTGGCCATAGTTACGGGTCAACATTTGAGGTGAGCAGTGGAGGGAGTCTTCAGCTCAAGAAGAAGAAGGAAGAGCCTGCTTCAGGTACACCTCTTTGGATGTATGAGATGGGTGCTATCCAGTTAGCTAGGCAGGCTTCCACTTAATTTGGATGCTCTCCAGGAAACTTAGCTAAAACAAGAGGTAGTCCTAAAACTCTAAGGCCAGACTTGAGGGGCTAGGCATGGGTAGGACCTCGGGAAAAGAAGGATGGCATGTACGAGCAGGTAGCTGAGTTGGTGGAGTGCTGACCAGCGTATACCAGGCCCTGGGCTCATCTGCAGCACTAGCGAATAGCTGAAGTGCTGGAGAGATGGAGGTCAAAGGATCAGAATTCACATCAACTGTATAGTGAGTCTGGGGCTAACCTATGCCACATGAGACCTTATCTCAAAAAGAAACTTTAAGGACCTAGAGAGATGGCCCAGCAGTTATAAGCACTTGTTGCTCTTTTAGAGGGCCCAGGGTCTGAACAACATATGGTGGCTCAGCAACCATCTTAACTCCAGTTCCAGGGATCTGATGCCCCTTTCGGAGTTATCAAACACATAATATTAATTTTTATTTATTTATTTATTTATCTATTTATTTATTTATTTATTTTTTTGAGGTGAGGTCTCTCTACATAGCCCTGGCTGGCCTCAAACTCACAGAGATGATCCTGCCCTCTGCCTCCTACTGTTGGGATTAAAGATAGGTGCCACCATGCCCAGCTCTTTAAAAAAAAAAAAATTCCCCCTAAGGAAGCATTGCAGAATTATTTCAAATCAGGGCAAGCAAGGTAGCTTAACTGGTAAAGGTACCTGCTACTAAGTCTGACCACCTGAGTTTAGTTTGCTCCCTGAGACCCACATGGTGGAAGGGAAGAGCCATGTTCTCTGACCATACATGCACCATACCATGTGCAGGCCCATACACATACACAGATACATGTTAAATTAAGGCATTGAAATGTAATTTTTAATAATAGTTTTATATCAAAATTATCATAGAGCAATTTCTTTCCTTAGAGACTAAAGAAGCGGGCACTGATAATCGAAATATAGTTGATGATGGAAAGTCCCAGAAACTCACTCAAGACGATATAAAAGCTCTGAAAGATAAGGGCATTAAAGGAGAGGTAAATGCAGTTTTTCCCTTTGTGTGTAACAGGTTTGGTTTTGATGCCAATCTTGAGGTAAAATGGAGTGTGTGCAGGCCAACACATTGGGATTTTGTTTCTTATACACAGGAATAATAGACTTGATGGCAGCACTGAAAGTATTAGTGGAAGAGAAGTTGACAGCCCTTCCTGGTTTCACTGTGGCTGATCTTTATGTGTTGTCTTCCTTTCTTGGATATTTCTTCCCCTTTTGCTTGGTTTAAAGGAAATTGTGTGAACAAGGCCCTGGGTTCCATTCCCAACACGAGGGGGAAAAAAGTCTAAATGGAGTTGTAATGCACTTATTGCAGATCCTAAGTAGAGTGTAGAAATGCAGAGTGGATCCATCATACTCCCGTGGAAGAGGGCCTGGAGAGCAGACCTTCGGAAGAGTGCTGGGGTAAGAAAGGGAAGCTTCAGGAAATCTGCTTGCTCCTTTTCTTCCAGGAAATAGTTCAGCAGCTAATTGAAAACAGTACAACATTCCGAGACAAGACAGAATTTGCCCAAGATAAATATATTAAAAAGAAGAAGAAAAAGTAAGTCATTTTGTTTGAAAATAGTATATTCACTAAATAACTGTTACTAAAAATAAGATGTCTTAAATCTTTTTGTTTCAAATTGCTATTCTGCTTTTAATTCCCCTAGATACGAAGCCATCATTACTATTTTGAAGCCATCTACCCGTATTCTCTCAATTATGTATTATGCAAGAGAGCCTGGAAAAATTAAGTACGCTTTGTTTCCTTTCAAAAATATAATTGGGGGAAATCTGTCTTTAAGAGAGTCATGGTTTTAAGTAAAATGAAAAGCTTGCTCACCTGCATAAAGTGTCCTCCTTCCTCATAAATTGTAAGTCCTTTTACTGTTGCCTCAAGCAAACAATAATCTTACCAACATAATTCTTATTAAACAACTAGAAAAGCTATTAGTAAACATTTGCCTTTTCTTAGCTAAAACTGAATGAGTCGTCCTTTTTTTTCCTTAGCCACATGAGGTATGATACACTAGCCCAGATGTTGACGTTGGGAAATGTCCGAGCTGGCAATAAAATGATTGTCATGGAAACGTGTTCGGGCTTGGTGCTAGGTGCCATGATGGAACGAATGGGAGGTAAAGACTTGATGTTTTCAAATTCAGTAAACTACTATAATGTGAGGAAAGATGTCCAAGAACTGGAAGTTAGAGAAGCCGGTTGAGTTTCTTAAGAACAGTGAGGTGACCTCAGTAGACCTTTGGGCAGTCCATTTCTCCCCACGGAGGCTGTGTTGGTGCCCCGGGATGTCGGTCTTTCTGCTTTGGTGTGTGGGGATGATGCTGGCTCTGCAGGTGGCCATGATTGCAGTAAACCAGCTGGTACTTCTGTGTTGTCACGAACTGAGGGGCTGAATGGGGAGGCCTCTCAGAAGGCCTTCTCTCGTGGAAGACACGGGCTCACCTGTCTGCGATTTCTCAGACTCTGGAAGATAGGAGCTTTTATCCAACCTGGCTAGTGATGAACAAGAAGAAAGCAAATAGTCCCAAATCATGTGACCTCTGAACTAGATCACCTGGTCTTCCATGGTGTCCTGAGGAGACAAACTTCAAGACTCCCTCTTTGCTCAGGAATTATATTCTCTCTGTAGAGAATGGACTATCCATAAAGTTCAGGGACACACACACACAGGCTTCGGCATTCTCCGTCCTCTAGACATGGAAGAAGCGTCATGTGAGGATATGGTCTTCGAAGTCTAGATTTCCTCCATGTGCTGATGTTTGTGTGTCTTCTCTGTTCAGGCTTTGGCTCCATTATTCAGCTGTACCCTGGGGACGGACCTGTTCGGGCAGCAACAGCTTGTTTTGGATTTCCCAAATCTTTCCTCAGTGGTCTTTATGAATTCCCCCTCAACAAAGTAAACAGTCTTCTCGATGGAACGTTTTCTGCTGAGCTGCTGTCCTCAGAGCCCAAAAACAGCACTCCAGTTGAAGAAAGTAATGGTAAATTTGAAGAGAAACAGATAGCCGAACAAGCCGATGAGGACAGCATGGCAGATGCCCCAGAAAGCATTGAAGGAGAGCAGAGAACAATGGAAATTGTTCCTGGGGACCCAGAGAATAAGGACCCTAAAGAAAAAGGAAGCAAGAGAGATTATGTAAGTATGTCAAGAATCATTACCCTTGTAATAGCCTCAGAGAGTCAGTTCAGTTGTGAGATTGGGTTAACTTCGAGGCGTTAGTTCCCTGGTTGGTACATATCAAAACAACTGAGGAGATGGGTGTGTTTGCACACAGCTGTGTGACTTCGTCTTTGGGCTGGGTCTCTGGGTGGCTTTATTGGCAACTTCCGAAGTGCAAGATCCTCACCTTCCTTAGACCACTCCCTCCTCTGTTGTGTGCTACATACCTGCATTGCTCTAAGAGAGCAGGACATTTCTGTAACCTGGCTGAATGACCTCAGTACATTGGTTTCTTGCTGTTCTTAGAGTCAGGAAAGACAGAGGAGACAAGAAGAGCAGAGGAAAAGACATTTGGAGGCTGCTGCTCTGCTGGGAGAGAGAAATGTAGATGGGTATGTTGACGAAGGCTGCCGGGCACTCAGTGCTGCTGCAGTCTGCTTCAAAAGCATTGGCATTTTCTTTCCACCATCTGCTCTAATTCTTGAGAGAAATGAGATGGAGATTTTTCTTTCTTTTTTTTTTTTTTTTGGTTGTTTTGTTTCTTAAGAAAGGCTGGAACGTGCTCGTTTCAGCAGCACATAGACTAAAATTGGAATGGTACAGAGAGGGTTAGCACGGCCCCTGCACAAAGATGACATGCAAGTTTATGAAACACTCCGTATTAAGAAGGAAAGGAAGGCTAGAAGGCTGGGTCTGGGCTGGAGGGATGGTTTAGCATGTAAGAGCACACACTGCTCCTGCAAAGGACCAGAGTTAGGCTCCCAACACTCTTCCTGCTGACTCATAACTGCCTGGAAGCCCAGCTTTGGGGAACCCAGCACCCATGGCCTCTTCGGACAGCTGCACACCCACACACCTGCCTACGTGCAGGTATTCACATGCGTAATTTTAAAAACAGTTAATTTGGCAAAGCTTTTCTTTTAAGGCTAGTGAAAATAATTCGTTAGTTGGTCGTTCTTAAAGAAAGGCCAAGTCTGGCAGAGAGGGGAGTTGATGATGGTCATTTAATGGTTTGAGAAGAAATCTGAACATTGAGTGATGACTGTCAGATAGGACTGTAGTCCTACTAGGTGCAATGGTAGGGCGCTAAGATGCCTGTGACACTGACCAATAACAAGAGCTGATGAAAACCTCTGTCAGAGGCCGGCGAGAAGACCAAGTAGTTCCGGAGGAGCACTTGCTGCTCTTCCAGAGCATTGGTGTTCAGTAACCAGCACTCATACTAGGCATATTACACACACGCACGCAGGGGAGGGGCACAGTGCACACACACTAAAAAATAAAATATGTCTTTAAAGAAAAAGAACATGTCTGGCGGTGGGAGGTGGGTTCCGAAGTATAGTGTTGGATTTGTCCATATGATCTAAAAACAAAAATGAAAGAACATCCGACATAGAGGTGCGCACACTCTTATAACCCAGTTTCTCTGAAGTAAAAAGCTCGTGATTTCATTCTGCTTTGAATTTCTAGAGTGTTGTGTAGTGCCTGGCACTTGTATAACCCCTGCTGGCCTAGTACTCTCTTTATAGTTAAGGTCAACCTGGAATTCAAGGCCTCCCTCCTACCCAAGCCTGAGTATTAGGATGTTAGCCATCTGCAGCCATACCTGGTAGTTTGTGGTCATTTTAAATACACTGAAAACCCATGCTCCACTTGGAGTGTGTAGAGGAACGTTCTCTGTTTTCCCTGCAGTTTGATTGTGGCCAGCCGTTTCCACCCCACTCCCCTGCTGCTGTCTCTGCTAGACTTCGTGGCCCCGTCAAGGCCGTTTGTGGTCTACTGTCAGTATAAAGAGGTAATTCTGAGACAAAATGGACAGAATTCCTACATCTGAATTTTGAGCCTCATACAGCTTGGGACATATCTAACAGAACTCTGTTTTTGCCCTTAGCCTTTGTTGGAATGTTACACAAAACTTCGGGAGAGGGGAGGAGTCATTAACCTAAGGCTGTCTGAAACCTGGCTCAGAAATTACCAGGTAAGCATTCTCACCACCAGGCCCTCGAGTTGGTCTTCAGGGTGCTGGTGCCTTGAAACAATGCTGAAAGTTGTCAAATAGAGCCACTGTTTCCAGTGGCAATGGTGAAAATGTCTGCCTATCACTCAGAGAAAATATCCTGGCTTCCTGGCCCCTTTTTCATATCAGAGTACACTGTTCTATACCTCTTGTCCAGAGGTGTTTAAAATGCAAATAACTAGTTATGCTACCCTCAAGTCCTTGCTCTCTATAGAGTGGGTCACTGAACATGAAGGGACCCTATCCTCTGCAGAGCATCTCCTCAGCCATTTCCAGGCTTTACTAGTGAGATGTATGCTATTCCAGAGCGCACACAGTGAGGTGGGCTTGTGCTCATTCTCCTTCTCACCTCCCATCTCTCTGGCAGTGTTAGATACCAGCTCAGGCTCTCAGGCATGCTGGGCAAGTACTCTGTCACTGAGCCACATCCTCGTCAGATATGTGCCAAAGCAGAAGTCTTGTAAGAGCGTTATTAGGGGAGAGGGGCCTTTGAAAAGTACGGAGAGAGAGAAAATGGGGTTACGTAGGTGAGTGCTTGCAAAAGATGTACTGCCTACATCAGTAACTGGGAGGAATTCTCAGGCAGCCAGGGAGGAGCCGGGAGTAGAAGACTGCTCCACGGTCAGGACTCCTGGACAGCTCCTGTCCCCCGACTCAGTTTGGTCTCCCTCAGTATGATCCCTGCAGTAGACCCTGAAGTCACAGCAGCTGGAGGGATTTGGTACCTGAATGCCTCACAGCCAGTTCCTTCGGGAAGGGAGATGCGAGGGGTCATTTCTGTGTTCCCGTGAGCCCCATCCTGCTAGTTGGCATCTGTTCCTACCACAGTAGGTTTGCTGCTGAGTCCAAAGTAACTCTGCCTCTTTACGTGGCAAGGGTGCAAGTGAGAAGAACCTTGCTGGCTTAACAGTAGCGGGGAAGTGAGCATCAGTGTTGCTTCTCCATATACCCTGTACCCATTGTCGGCCATGAAGCTTCCTGGAGCCAGGATGGAGACAGCAGTGCGCAGGCCAGATATAAAGAAACCATGCGCCCACCCACCCTCCACAAACCAGCATTGGGTTTGACAGGACCGGGGCTTCAGTCATGTGTTGTTTAAAATAAATGCCTTTGTTTTTATACTTCCTTCTGCATTGTTTTATGAAGAAGTGGTCTTCCTAAAAGTTAGTCATTTTAAAATCATCAGGAGAATTTGACATTTCAAGTCTAATTTTTGTTACGTTGTTGACATAGTTTGTAAGAATGCAGAAAGACATAAATGACTTTTCTTTTTTTTAAACCTGTCTTGGTTAGGTTCTGCCAGATCGGAGTCATCCCAAATTGCTGATGAGTGGAGGTGGAGGGTACCTTCTTTCAGGCTTCACTGTTGTCTCTGACAGCCTTCGCGCAGACCCCAGCCCCAGCCTCAAGTCCTGTGCAAGCACTTTAGACTCACACAAGGCTGAGGAGCCAGCATCTAAAAAACAGAAGTGCTTGGAATCAGGCTCTTAACTCTTAGGAGATTAACATTTAGTCCAAGGCATTCTGCAGCTGGTAATTAAGCTCTCTGTGCCACCACTAAATGTTTTTACAGTCCTAAGAGTATGTGTGTGCACCTGTTCCTGGGGAGAAGTAAGTCTTTCCTTTGCCTCAGATACAGACAGTGCTGCAGCTCCGACATGCAGGAATGCATGGGTGCAGCAGCTCTGCTCCTAACAGACTCAGAGTAAAGTGTCTGCAAATACCTTGGGAATGTCAGCACCTTGAAAATGTTGATATATAAGACTTTGCTTACATTTTAAGCAAAGATGATGAATACAAGCTAGCTAAAACATGGGGAGCAATGAAAGGAAATTTCCTCTCATCCATTCCCTTCCACCTAAGCAATATAATGTGTGAGCCTGTGAGATTTATAGTACCAAAAATGTGTACCCTGGGGCCCTGCAATGGAATAAGCTTTTTTAGATACTAAAGTTTATTATTTTAATAGCGGACAGTCTGAGGAAGACTGGGTATTTATTTTACTGCCTGTCCCCATTTTGGTGCATAGAAAGGCTTAGTAGGTGCTTTTTGCAGTGATTTGCCCATCTTCTTTGTTCTAAATAAGGTGATTTGAACTTCTGTATATTATTAAACAATCAGGTTTTTCCCTCTCTAGACACAGACACACAGAAGTGTGTCTTGGTGTTGGCATATATAGACGTGCACAGGTGGATCTGTGTATGTCAAGAGAGTGAATACAACTTTATTGAATTGTGTTAAAGGCCTGAGCAAAGCAGACCAGCTCTCAGTGTGTTGGTGTCACTCCTTGTCAAGTGTGTTTCAAGTGCCTTTTTCTGGGGTTGCTCATACTGGTCTCTAAAGGTCTGCTGCAGTGAGGGGTGGGTGGCCTTTATCTGCTCTGAAAAAGTATAATCATTATTTTCCCGTCTCCATTGTAAGAAATAAAATTGTCTAGAGAAACCCAAGACTCTTGTCCACTTTAAAATCTTAAGTCTTGCTCACTAGAGGAAGCCTGTCCAGGCGGAGCATCTCAGGAGGAAAAAAAAATGCTTTCCTAATAGCATGTGCCATTCTGATAATGGCTGCTGTGATTACCACCTGTGGTTTTTATTCCTTTTTCTCTAAACAGTTGCATTTAAAGAATAAAATTTTCCTACTCTGAGCCATGTGCCATTAATAACATGATAAACGTTGCCATGTTGAGCTGATGGTGACCTGTGGTCTCTGGGTTAGAGATCACACTAGAATGTGCCACGGGCAAGTCACATTCAAGAACGTAGGATTGCACACATGAGACTCAGTAGGGGCTGGTCGCCGTTAAATGACCTCAGTTGACGTCAGGCCCTATTCCCTTCTCCAAATCCCTGAGTGCGCCCTGCGTGCCTACTAAACACTAGCAGATACCTTAAAAAAAAAAAAAAAAAGGATTCCGGGGATCAAGCTTGAGTTCAGACTTGTACAAGTGCCTTTACCTGCCAGCCATCTCACCAGCCCTGACATAGTTTGAATACATATGAAAATAATCAGTAGTATTTGCTGTAAAAATTGCAACAAAACAAATACCAGAGACACCCTCTTAAAAATCCAAGGTGTGCAGCACTTGGACACTTCATCTTGTGCGTGGTGTGCAGTGCCAGGAAGGAGAGTGGACCTAACACCTTGAAGCTTTAGGATGATACATACTAATTTTTATTAGGAGAAAGTAAAAGTTTGCATGGGCCAGCAGTATTAGTGAGTAAAGATGTTTACTCCATAAGCCTGTTGATTTGAGTTCTCCAGAACCCATAAACAGGACAGAACCAGCTCCACAAACCACCCTTTGCTCACTCCCAAACATCATACGCAAATTAGTTTTTCTTAGGGTACAATTATTTGTACTTTACTATGAGCACAGGTCAGATTGTAAGACTGGACAGCTACTTAAAAAGCAAGGGACAAACTTAGCTGTCGTGTTAACACGAGGTTCCCACGGCTTTTTGAGCCCTTACCTAGTTCTCATTGGAATAAATATTGTAATCAAATATGAGGTTTCTAAATAGGGCTTGTAGAAAGCTATACTAACCCCAGAGTTCTCATCCCCCGTACTTCAGGCAGTTCCTAAGCATTTTGTTGTATGTGTGTATGATGTATGTCACTGATGGCATATGCCTGCCACGGCGTACGTCTGGAGATTAGAGGACAGCATCTTAGTTCTCCTTCCTCCATGTGGGTAGTCAGCCTTGGACGGCAAGTACTTTTTTTCCCTGAGCCATCTTCCCATCCCTGAAGCAACTTAAAAAAAAAAAAAAAAAAAAAAATCACAGTAAGTACTGGGGCAATGGCTCACTGGATTGCCACCATGAATGATGCTTGAAGTTCCAGAACCACTCAGAATTTGGAAGGCAGAGGCAGCAATTCAAGGCCAACCTGGTCTACATAGTGAGTCCTCACACTGTAAGCCAAAATCAACCCTTAAATTGCTTTATGAGATGTTTTGTCTCACCATGAGTTTGAGGAGGAGGAGTGGCGGCTGGCTGCCGGTGGGATGCTCAGGGACAGCGACACATCCCGGCGCTCGCCTCTCTTTTCTACCAAGAACAGGGTCCAGCCCTGGGGATGGCGCCCCCATATTTCGGGTGTGCCTTTCCACCTCAGAAAACTTGATCTGCATAATCCCTCACAGACAGGCTCCCCCAGAGGCTTGTCTCGTTAGTTATGTAGATCAAGTGTTGGTGACAGTGTTATCCGCAACAAGCCCATCCATTGTCTACTCACGCAAAGTTTAACACTTTTTGTTTGGGAGGAGTTTTCTGTTGTGGAGTGTTTTGTCATTTGCTTATTTGCTTGCTTGGGGAGTTTTGTTTTTTTGAGACAGCAAACTATGTAGCTCTGGTTGGCCTGGAACTCGCTATGTAGACCAGGCTGGTCTTAAATTGTTGTCTCTGCCTTCCAAATTCTGAGATTAAAGAAGGGTACCACCATATCCAGCAAACAGGACTTTTTAAGTGCTTCCTTGTGTGTGTGTACAGGTGTTTGTGTTCCCAAGCATGCATGAGCAAAAGACAGCTCTAGGGTGTTGGCTCTCTCCTGCTACCTAGTGGGATCTTGGGATCAAACTCAGGGATCTTCTCTGTCTGCTGAGCCATCTCACTGGGCCCCAAACATGTCACTTTTAAGCCACAACCTTTTTCTCATGGGTTCCTGGCCATCACATAAAATCTATTTGTTCCAACTTTAAAAGTCTTTAACATTTCCAACACTTTAATTTTACATTATTTATTGCATGTTTGTGTGCAAGCATGGGTGTAACTGTTCATGTGGAGGTAGAGGACAATTGGCAAGAGTTGGTTCTCTCTTTCCATCGTGTAGATTGTGAGTATCGGACTCAGGCCAACATGCTTGAGGGCAAGAGCCTTTACCTGCTGAGCCCTCTTTCTGTTTTTCCAACACTGTTTCAAAGTCCAGGCCTCACCTGAGACTCACGGCAATCCTGTAACTGTGAGCGCCTATGCACTCAGGAGGCAGAAGATCCATAATTGTAATACAGTTACATAGAGTAAAGCATTCATATTCCAAGAGACTGCACTTAACAAACACCAAATCCTGGTGCTCCATATCTAGCACTTGGGACTCAGGATAAGATTGTTTGGGCTCCAAGGGACTTAAGCAGTCCCTCCCCCTCTACTGTCCAGAGCACATGCAGTCTCCTGAACCATCTTCGTTGCATGCAGCTTTCCTCCCCAGATGTCTGACGGTTCTGGCATGTCCAGCATCCTAGAGTCTCCAGTAAAACTTGGGCTTAATCTTCACAGCTTCACACAATGGCTTCTTTCTTTGCTGGGATTCTGACTGCCACACATTGCGTGATCTCAACAGCTCTCTAAAACCAGAGTAAGGCATCATGATCTCTTCAAGCTTGCATGTTTTATCCTGCAAAACCAGTGCCACGATAATGTTGCCAAGTTCTGCTGTCAGCATGGAATGGAGTTGGCTACATTTTAACAGGTGCAGCAGCCTGTGTCTCCTAACCCTGGAGAGATACTCTTCTAGGAAGTTGCTGTTCCAGAGCAGGGAACCCACTTTAGCATCCTAGGTTAAAGTTCTCTCCTTTCAAGTAAGTTTGCTTTTTCAAAATATGGAGCCTTCAGTGGGTGGGGTCTTGCCCTCATGACAACATCCAGTGGACCCAGTGTCAAGATTCCTCTTTACCAGTTACAACCAGTTACAAGGCAGTGCTTCTTAAACGCTTGCCATGGGTTCAACTGTAAACTTGTTCTGGCCACCTTGACAAATTGGATATATTTTGTATCTTTCTTCCCAACCGGTTGTTCCTTTTCACTGTAGAACCAGAAAATAGTAGTAACTAACAACCATGTCGCAAACTGAACACTAGCCTGCCTTGAAACTTCCTCCATCAAAGAAGTCAGTCCATTAGGCTTTAAATTGGTCTTATGCAAATTCTCAGAACCCAGCCAGAATGCAGCCAGATCCTGTGGCAGAACATTACACAAATGGCCTCTTAGCCCAATTCCTGGTTTCTTGTTCCCCTTTGAAATCCCATGAGCTAAACCTCTACTTTCTAGGTTTCTCACCATATTCATGAATCCTAGACTCCCACTAGAATGCTTCATTTGGCTCTGCTTACAGCACTCTAAGGATCTTTTAGCCCAAAGTTTCAAACACTTAGACATTCCTCCTGCAAATCAGTCTCTTAGACCTAAGAACCACATAATTAGGTTTATGGCAATAACAGCTTCACTTCTTTTTAAATTTTTTATTTTAATTTTTTTCACAATTTATTCATTATATATCCCAATTGAAGCCCCCTCCCTCAACTCCCCCCAGTTCCACTTCCATCCCTCTTCCCACCTATCCCCTCCCCCTAGTCCACTGAAAGGGGAGTTCTCCACCATTGCCATCTGCCCATAGCTTGTTAAGTCTCGTCAGGACTGCCTGGACCCTCTTCCTCTGTGACCTGGCAAGGGCACATCACCAGGGGCACGTGATCGAAGAGCAAGCATCCGGTAGAGGCAGCCCCATCTCCCCTCACTCTGAGACCCACATGGAGACTGAGCTGCCAATAGGCTACATCTGAGCAGGGGGTCTAGGTCCTCTCCATGTATGGTCCTTGGTTGGTGCATCAGTATCTGCAGAACCCTCTGGGCTCATTTTTTTTTTTTTTTTTTTTTTTTTTTAGCTTTGTTGGTCTTCTTATGGGGCTCCTGTCCCCTCCATGTCTTTCTATCCTCACATTCCTCTTCTTCCATGAGACTCCCTGTACCCTGGTCCTGATCTCACCGCCAGGAAGAAAGACCCCAGAGAAGAGACAGTAAGAAAGCTTCCTGAAATATGTGCCTGTGTTTAGAACTATTTGCACAGCACCAGTTGACTCGGCCCCTGTGTAATAAGGTCTCAGTTTGTTTGGTGTTAATCTGTGAAGGATCTGACTGAATTAGTATAGCATGTCTCAGTTTACCAGAGGAGGAGAACCAGGTCTCCGGTGTTAATAAAAATTACCCTCAGACATGCTGCCACCTTCCAGAAAACAATAAAAAAATAGCCTAGCCAAGGCTGCCACTGTTGAGAAATGAGGTGGTTAAAGAGGGAGAAGGGGATTGTCCGATTGCCTTGGGACAAGAAGCTACAAAGACAATAAGAGCGGAGGCCGACATTACCTATGCCATTGGTCCACAGCAGGCACAAGGCCGAGTGTTTCACATAAACTCTTTTTAGAAATAACCTTGGGAGACCAGCCATGGTGGTTCATGCTTGTAATCCCAGTGAGATTTCCCACCCATTTCTCCCTGCTGTCAGACTTGTTGATGCTAACATCAACTTTGATCATTATGATCTAATTCCAAATGCTAAAGAGGGAAAACAACTCTCTCGAAGCCACACAACAGAAGTCATGCAATAGAGTCAGAGCTCTGAATACATGGTAGAAATCTGGCAAGTACCAAGGGAAGTACAGGGATAGTGTGCTGGTGTTCTTATTCTCAATCCAGAGTTCTTTCCACTATCAAGGCCTTGTCTTCAGCCTGGTCCTTAACTGTTCACCCCTAGAGGTCTCTGGTTTGCAGGAATCTAATTATTTGCATTTCTAAGATTTCCAGGCTATTGCTTAGGCTGGCCCTGACCTGCAAGGCCAATCTGCCTCAGCCTCGCAGGTAGCCACCTATGAACGTGAGCTACTGTAGACAGCCAGTAAGGGGATTTGCCTGTGTTTCTGTTGTGTACTGTCCCCCTCTATGCCCCTTGCCAGTCTTTTTCAGTCCTGATTTTGGAACCCAGAGTATCATACACGCTGGATAAGGCCTCTACAGTAAGCTGTCTCCTCTCTCTCCTACTTTGCAGAATTTTATTTGTTTTTTTATTATACAGTATTCTGCCTGCATGTATGCCTGTTGCCAGAAGAGGGCACCAGATCTCACTATAGATGGTTGTGAGCCACCATGTGGTTGCTGGGAATTGAACTCAGGACCTTTAGAAGAGCAGCCAGTGTTCTTAACCTCTGAGCCATCTCTCCAGCCCCCTCAGAATTTTAAAAGTTATATTTTGGGCTACTGAAATAGCTTGCTAGGTAAAGCCCTTGCTACCAAGTCAGTCGACCTGATTTTTCAGTCTCAGAGAACCAACTCATGAAGGTTGTTCACTGATTAACCGCCCCTGCCACACATAAAATGAACACATAAAATGCAATAAAAATTTAAGTTAACATATAGAATGGGCTCTTCGAGTCTGTGTGATCTCTGTTAGCCTGGGGTCGGGACAGATGTTTTATTCTCGCTCTCTTTCTTTATATCCTGCAATATTTTGCTTCAAAAACCTTGCTTTTTTTCTGTTATACATTTAAAGACCAACAAATTCTAATGCTATCTTTGAGAATATACTTAGAGAAATGGACTTCAAAATCACACCCTTCCTAAGTAACCCCCAGAAAGCTAAGAACCAAGAAGAACTCTGTTTCGGGTAAATCCTTTATTGTTTATGTTCCAAAGACAGCAATGGTCATTGTCACAGGCATAAGAACATCTATTTTGCAGGAAGAATGTGCTACAAGTCATACTAGTCACACAGCGTCAGCATTCTGGCAGAGATGGGTGATATTTCCAACTGCATCGGACACTTAATAAACAATAAACTCTGCTTTCTGTGTTTGGGTGATTCAATGGCGTCTTTCAGTGAACGGCCGGTCTCTCCTACTGTCAGCCCCGGTGGCTGAACTTTTCTGCTATCTTCTGCAGTTCCAGATCCATGGCAGCCAAGTTGTCCAGTTCCTTTCTCTGGGAAACAGAAAAGTGGAGCACTGAGGTCAGTTCCTACTGCTCCTGTTCAGGGTGCTCTAAGGAGAACGGGGAATGGTAGGGACTGTGGAGGCTGCCTGAGTCAGCCAACATCAGGGATCTCCAGAGTGTGCTCTCCTGACCAACAGACTGGGCACCCCAAGAAACTGCCCAGGAATAAGGATTCCTGGGTCCCCTCTAAAACTGCTGAATGAGAAACTCTGGGAGTCGGAAATCCCTGTGACTCTAAGGTACTTTCAAGCACCCCCTGACACGATCAAATTAGGTAAAGGCGCTGTTTGGGTGGTCTGCATGTGCATTGGGATCATATGGCAGGCACCAGGTGCTCCTCAGACAGAGTCTCTGGGATTGGATCCCAGACACAGCAGTATTCCTAGTTCACTAAGCAAGACATGAAAACACAGTGAGAGAGAAAGGACAGGGATAGGCTTGATGGTGACTGGAAAACAGCCCTGCTCTGTGCCTAGGGTATCACGTTCTCACAGTGAGATTTCCCACCCGTTTTTCCCCGTTGTCAGACATGTTGACATGCTAGCATTGATCATCATCATCATCTAATTTAAGCAAAAGCCTCAAACTGTACCTCTTCCTCAGTCAGAACTCTCTGGTCAGCCCTGGCCTTTCCATCTGCGGCCTCCTGCTGAGGTCCCATCTGCTCCTCAGAGTCATAGAAGTCGGGAAATTCGGCTGCCTTCTTCCTGTACTGGAGGAGCTGGTCCAGCTCAGCCACTCCGCCATATTGCCTTTTCAAGTCCAGGGGAGGCATCCTGGCAAAGCTTCTCTTCTCATATCCCCAATTCACATCCTCGGAGAAGGGCCTTTTCTCCCACCAGTCATAGCTGTACTCTGGGAAGAAACTCTTCTCGGTCAAGGTCAACCCATTTCCATCTTCACCTTCAACCCCAAGAAAACGGTCATCTGGGTTGTCCTTTTTCTCAAAGTCACCGTTCTTCCACTGGAGAGGGTCAAAGTACGGGTTGAACAGCGCCCCTAACCGCTTTCTCTTTTCAGTGGTGGGATAGAGTGCATATTGTCTGTCTGGAAACATGACTTCCTCCCTGCTTTCTTCTGGTTCTAACAGCTCTTCCTGCTGCCACCATTTCCCTTGGTCTCCTTCTTCACCGTAGCTGAGGTAGCTTTTCTCCTGTTCTTGCCATTTTCTCTGTGAATGCCCTTTTGCCTTATCTATGGGGCTTTCAGGAACAGGGAGGTGCCCTTCATCCAGGAACCTTTTCTCTTCTCTGGTGTCAGGAGCAGAATAGGCAGCTGGCTCACCACCCCTGCCTCTGTGTTGGCGTCCCTTTGCCCTCTCATAGCCTCTCTCCTCCTCAGTTTCTTCACTGTATCTACTTGCAGTGCTTTCAAGTTCAGAGTTGGGGTGGTTTGTCTTGTACTCCATTTCCTGGCTCTCCTCGCTGTGAGGCCTTGGAGCCCTCTCCTCTTCACTTCCTCTGCCTCCATACAGTGGTCCCTGAAGGCCCTCAGAACCCTGGAAACCCGGATGGCTTCTCATTTCTTCCCCATATTCAGGTTCTTCTTCTGAAGCCCTGTAGTGTGTTGGGCGGTGACCCCTCTGTTCCCCTAAGCTGGCTGTGCTCACATCTGCCTCCTCTGACTCCTCAGGAGCACGCCTCCTTCCCTCAGACAGAGGATGCCCTTCTTGAGACAACTTGCTGGGCCGGCTTCTCCCATGGTGGTGTCTGGGCCATCGTTTGGCTACTTCAGAGGCTTCATCTTCCTCCTCTTCCTCAGAGTCTTCTTGGCTCTCCTTGTGGTTGCTAAGCTCCTGGAGTTTCTCCTGTGTCCTTGCCTCCTCCCCACTCTCCTGGCTGCTCTGCTCCCTGCTGTGTGTCTTCTCAGAGAGCCCCATAGAGCGTGCATCTGCTCTGGCCACTGACTCCTCTTGTTTCTTAGCTGTAGCCTCGCTTCTTTTGTTGGAGAAGGTGCTCTGTTTCTCTCCAGAATCTTCAAGGTGTTTCTCTTCACCAGCATCTTCCCTGTGCTCTCCTTTTGGGATATCCTTGCCTTCCTTTTCTTCTCTTCCTTCCTCCCTTTCCTCTCCACCCCTCTCTTCCGAAAGCTGTATCTTTGCTTCTTTGGACACTTGTTGGTTGGAGGTGCGGAGACTGCCCTGGGGTTCACCCACTACCTCTCGGCTGTGTCCGCCTTCTCCTGTCCACTTCTCACTATCTGCCTTTGTCTGGCCTTGAGCATCTTCTTCTGGAGCTCCTGTTTCCTCCCTACCGGAGGGCCCGTGGGCTAATGAGGCACCCACTGGGTCTCTTAGCAATCGTACTGCAAACTTCGTGTTCTCATTTTCACCTTTCTCTTCATCTTTGTCTTCTTTCCCACCTAGAATGAAAACATAGAAGTAAATACAACCTCAGAAATGCTTGAGGATCAAGTGCCAGCCTCAGTGATCACTACAAATCCTGAGGCCCCTGGAAAATGGGTCCATAACCATAATCAAAGGATATGTTCCGTTCTTTGAAAAGCTGATGTTACGGAAGTTCTTTGACTGAGTTTAATTCTAATGAGCTCTCGACATGTCTACGTTTTCACACTACCTGCCCAGCTTCTCTCTTTGTGACTGCCAATAATCAGGTTGAAATTCCCATGTAACTTCAGGAAAGACTGAAATTCAGAACCAGAAGGACTCTTACAATTGATCCAGTTCAGCCTCCTTGTTTTACAGGTATAAAAGACATGGAGACTCAAGAGTGATAAAATTCCTGGCCATTCTTTCCATATTTGAGTACATTGGAAAGGTTAGCTTTGTGTAAATGAAGGGCTCTAACTATAATCCAACTAAATAACATTAAGTAGCAAAAATAGCAACTATTAAGATTCAAAGAAGGATTCAAAACTTATTCATCAGACTTTATTCTTCAGTCAATTGTGTGGACCCTATCCAGCAGGAAATAACAGCTTAACTTAGCTCAGTCATGTGCACTGCATTTCATCCTACCACAGACTGTGGATGTCCCAGTGGTCCTACACCACCTTATCAAGTGGTGATGCCATAGCCCTCTTGATTTCCATAAGTGCCTTTAGTGGTGTTTGTATAGCAAGAAGATGCCCTAACAATGCCCTTCTCAAGAATCATTAAATGACGTGTGGCTGCAACTGGTGATAAGAATGGAAAGGGCCTCTATTCATCTTCACTTGGGTCCCACCCAAGCCGCATATTGTTTGATGCTGAGAATAAGTTTCAGTGCCGTGGGCTGTCTCTGAGTTTCATGAGTCAGCAGCAGATGACAGAACTGACATTTGCTGCTCTCTTCCATCTTTCCAAATGTCAGTAAGTCCTTTACTACATCCTCCCAAGGAACTCTATGAAAAGAGATGTGGAGGTCACACTGTCTTTGTTGTTAGTTGGGAAGGCTTAGATTCCAACCTCCTCCACCAAGTTCAGATAGAAGACCTGGAGCCAAGGCCACTGGCAGTTAAAGGTCAACATCAGCACCATCTATCATGGGAGCCATTAGCTCCTTGTGGTTATGGAACGCTTGAGATGTGGTTTGACGAACTAAAACCTACTATACACACCAGATGCCCAAGATATCATACGAGAGAGGGAGAGAGAGAGAGAGAGAGAGAATGTAATAAAATAACATTTTTGATATTTATTGAGTGGATAAAGTAGATAAAATGAGATACACATTTGACATTAATTTCACTTGTGTCTTTTAACTTCTTAAATATGTCCACTAGAAAATTTGAAACTGTATTTGTAGTTCATACTATATTTCTTTTGAACAGCACTGATGGGCCTCTTTGTTTTTAGACAGGGGTTTATTATTCGTTAATAGGGAGAGCTTAGAAAGCAAGCAAGCATAGCAGGAGCAGATCTCGTGAGTCACATTGAACTGATCTTTACAAAGGTTTGTGCCTCTCTGTGAAAGCACAGCCTGTCGTGGTAACGATGCTCTCATACTCACAGGCTGCAGGGGATGTCTCTGGTCTTCTATACGTGGGCCTTTGAGCGGCAGCTCATTTGTCACAGCCCGGCGCCATGTAAGAGCTCAGGGTGACGTCAGGGGCATTATGAGGCCAACTTGGGCTACAAAGTGAATTTAAGACTAGCCTGAATAACAAACAATCCTTGTCAAAGAGAGAGGTGGGGGAGGAAGGAAGGAAGGAAGGAAGGAAGGAAGGAAGGAAGGAAGGAAGGAAGGAAGGAAGAGAAAAGGTCCCATGGTATTACATACAGTGCTGGGGCAGAGCTAATTAGGCACAAGTAAGCAAGGAGACTTTGGGTGGCGGCCTTGGCTCCCTGTGTCCCCTTTCCAAATTCTTATGTTGAGATACTATTCGCTGCTATGATGGTTTGGAGAGCTGAGGAGCTGGACGTTCTTAAGTCCCACATGGAGCCCTCGTGATGAGAGCAGGGTCCTAACAAGGGGACACAGGAGAGCCATAACTTTCCTTCACTTAGGAGGACATGTTAAAAAGATGGTGAGGTGGCCAAAAAGTGGGACCTGACCTTGATCTTGTATACTAGCTGCTACAACTATGAGAAATCAGTGTGTATTGTTTAAGCCAATGGGTCTGTGACAGTTGCCTGTAGCTTTCACAGCTGCCACAGGCAGGTAGATTCTCATGTCATTCTCAGAAACTGCTGGAGGACAGTGGAGGCCACATGCTCTTCCTTTTACCTGATTTAGGGGCTGAGGTATCTTAAGTGTCAAGAACAGAAGTATTTTTATTTGTTCTGTGTTAAATGTGTACTGCCTATAGCAGCTTGTGCCTGGAGCTGAACACTCCTGCCTAAATTTAGCTCTAAGCCCAGCAGGTGAGATGGGGGAAGGCTGATTAGAAGTCTTAGCCAATCTGTAACCAAAGCGTGACACTCACTCTTGCTTCCGGGTAAAAGGGAAGAATATTTCATCCATCGTGTTGCAAAGCTAACCAATTCAACCATGGTCAACCCTAGCCAGAGAAATCTCGTACCTGGTAAGAAACCAGGAATTTTCTAAGGCCTCTTTAAGCCAAAAAACAAACAAACAAAAAAACCCCAAAACAACAACAAAAATTCTTCAATTCTTTCCTTCTCCCCAAATACTTATTTGTTCAGGAGGATACAGGAGAGTGGGAGTACAGAGGAGGCTTGGATGGAACACAGGCCAAACAGAGCATTTCCTTCACTCAGCTCGGCATTCCAGGCTGCCCGTTGGGTTAGGAGAAAGACTAGGGCCAAGACAGAGAAAACTACAACAGGACAGAATGGTGTGGCCCAGAACTGAGTTCCCTGTGACCTCACTTCAGAGGCGATATCTAAATAGCAGGTGTCACAATAAATAATCAAAATGTTAAGCAGGTGGTGCACATCTTTAATCCCAGCACCTGGGGAGAAAGAGGCAGGTGGATCTCTGTGAGTTTAAAGCCAACCTCCTGTTTACATAGTGAATTCCACACTGGTCAGAACCACACAGTAAGACACAGTAAGATCCTGTCAATAAATAAATAAATAAATAAATAAATAAATAAATAAATAAATAAATAAATAAGTGGAAAGAAAACATAGACAGGTACACAGACGAACAGAGATAGATAGATAGATAGATAGATAGATAGATAGATAGATAGATAGACAGACAGACAATTAGCTTGAGATTTAACTCAGTGGTGAAATGTTTACACAGCCCCAGTGTGGCCCTAGGCTTGATCTTCACCACCACCAAACAAAAACAAAGAAAAATTCAAATTCTTAACTTCCTTTGAAAATATGCAAGGTCTGAACAGCAGCATATGGTAACAGTGTATAGCTCTCCCCCAAAGGAGGAGCGCTTAGCAGGACAAACTCCTGAGAACCCCTTCCCCCCACACCCTGCTGTGCGGCTCTTCTGCTCTGAGTCCTTCTTGACCCCTGTGGTTTCATATCTAGCCTGGGTGACACTTGAAGCTGCAATCCCAGAGGAGCACTTCCGTCCTCCTGGCCCTCCTGCTTGTATCTGTTCGGTGTTCTCGTTAGAGATCTGAGTCAGTTGTTTGCTCTTGGAACAGGAACAACATACACCTAACGTCTGAGGGCAGAGCTGCCAAGCTGGGATTACGGTGGCAACAGCTTGAGCGCTAAGGACCTGAATTTGGAGACAAGAAGAGTGTGGCACTCGGTGACTTTCTCCTGAGCAGTCGTGGCTATCTGCTGACCTTATGTGCCAGACCCTTCCCTTTGTACCAATCCAGTAAATGAAGCCGGGGAGAGGGCGGCTACAGAACTGATGGCCCAGAGTAGCAGGATTTGCTTCCTGCGATCACTTGGAACCCCCTGCCTCTACAGGCAGAAAATAAATTCAAAAAACGCAGAAGTGCCTTGCCTGGAGCGGGATAGGGAGGCTTCTATTCATTGTGTAGTGAGGCTCCTCACGGCTCATAACACCCCATACCCGCCACGATTCTGAGGCAGAGTGAGTTAACCCAGGTTACTCTGAGCCAATTGTCCATGGTTGTTGTTGAATCATTTTGTGCATGAACCCTCATGTACTGCAACCACAGTATTGTAGTATCATGTACTACAACCGCCTTGTATTGAGAAATCTTAAAGGTAAAAAGAAAGAACTGGCCGTTTCCAGCTTAACTCAAACCTCCAGAGCAGTTCACCAGAGCAGGGTTTCTTTGAACTGGCTTGACTTCCCAAATGACAAGGACTGTATAGAGCTTTGTAAGAACTGATAATAGGGGCTGGAGAGATGGCTCAGAGGTTGAGAGCACTGTCTACTCTTCCAGAGGTCCTGAGTTCAATTCCCCCCAACCACATGGTGGCTCACAACCATCTACAATGAGATCTGGCGCCCTCTTCTGATGTGAAAGCATACATGCAGATATTGTATTGTACACATAATAAATAAATAATTTAAAAAAGAACTGATAACAGGAGATACAGCTTATGTCACTGTTCAAACTTTGTTTTCCATAGAAGCTCTTTAGTACAGACAAAATACTCCGCTAGCCTCGGAACAAGTCTTCAGTTTTGCCCTCCCTTCTCCTTTTGACACTCTTTCAGTCACGCCCTCATCTACCCATGCCTCTCCCCACCCAAATGAAGACCTATTTTAAATTTTTTAAAATATGAACTCAAGGAATTTCTTTAAATTTGTATGTTATTTTTATTTTATGTGCACCAGCGTTTTTGCCTGTTCTATGCCTGTGAGGGTGTCAGATCCCTGGAACTAGAGTTACAGACAGTTGTGAGCTGCCATGTGGGTGCTGGGAGTTGAACCCTGGTCTTCTTGCAAGAACAGCCAGTGTCTTAACCATTGAGCCATCTCTCCAACCCTGAGGAAATCAAGGAATTTAAGAACTAACAGATAGCTCAAAGACTACAGTCAACCTCAATTTCCCTTTTGCAAAAAAAATAAGTCTAGAGGAAAGAAAGGATCTTCCCCACTGTCAGACAATTACTAAGGAACCAGAAATCATATCACTGTCTCTCCAGGTACCAGTCCAATCAATCAACACTATCTGTTGAATTATACCACAAGGATGCATTTGCAGGCAAAGTGGAGGCTTCAGGGAGAGGAGTCACTGCAGGCACAAAGGTCTTTCTGAAGTATGGACACTTACTCTTCTTCAGGACTTGCCGGCACTCAGGGGTAATTGTTGGAACACTGGACTTGGACAGGGCATTTGAGAGGACTTCAATGATACATCGAGTCACCTGTGAGAGAGCACAAAAGCAGGTTGGAAAGCTGTTGTCACCAGACCGCTGTTCAACCAGGAGCACCTGTCACAGGAGGCCTAAGCACATGACTGGAAGGGGTGAAGATCCTCAGGGCAGAGGACCAGAGGACCGTGAGGAAGCCTCCAAGGTACTACACTGCACAATAGAAGGGAAATAAAGGCCCACTTGTAAGCAGGCTAGAGGGGAATTGCCTCTGTCCTCAGGAAGAGTGAATCCTCTGGGAATGTGTGTGTTTACTACAGGAGGGACATCATTTATCCCAGGTTCTAAGGAACAAAACTTTGTCTTTGTGAGAGACCATAGGGGAGGGTGCTGTCAAAGGGAGTGAGGCAGTCCAGCGTGTACAAGCAAGTCAAGACTCTAACACCTCAACTTACCATTTCTTCATTGTGATTCCTGTTATCCACCGGAACTGAGCGGACAGCTTTGAAGGAAAAAAATGGAAAATGTTGAGTTGATTTCTTGGAGGCTGAACGAACCAAGTTTGTAAAATCTCCCTGTTTTCGTTGACGGGGATGCAGAGCGAGTACTTCAAAGAACCCAGAGTTGGCATGACAATGGTCATCGTTCCTAGTTGCTGTACACGTGTGCGCATGTACATACATGTGTGCCTACACAAACATACACAGTTGTTTCCCCCAGCAATGCCTTAAATATACTTGGAAACAAATGCTGTCTTACAGGCAAGATAAATCAAATCCAGATCACATCTGAGGAAGCGCTTAAGTTTTGGCAGTTTGCCATGTCTTGTGCTAGTTACACAGACGTCCTGTATTTGTGAAAATTTTGTTAAGCTGTACACTCACTCTATACAGTTTTCTACATTCTGTGCTATAATAACTTTAAAAAAAATCAAGATAGAATCAGGTCCCCTCCGCAATCCCTTCCCTCTGTCTATACTGAATGGCTACAGATCTGTGGCTCTCTCTCTCTCTGACTACTCCTGTTCTCAAGGAAATATCCTCCCCTAAACTCACTTCATAAAAACACAGATATTAAAGGATAGGCATGGAGGTGCACAGCTTTAATTACAGCACTCAGAAGTGTGTGTTGGGGGGAAGAGCAGGATCTCTGTGAGTGAACAAGGCCAGCTTAGTCTACAGGATTTCCAAGACTTCACAGAGAGACCCTATCTCAAAAAAAAAAAAAAAGTCAACCTCAACAGCAAAAAACATGGGTATTAGATTATAAATCACCCAAGACCTTTACTTAGCAGTTTGCTTCTGCATTTGTTTCAGTGCTATAATGTTCTGCATTGTATACAATTGTGTAAACACCACTAGAAGTATCAAGTTCTCTAGCACATTGTTGAGCTTAGAGTATCCAAACTGGCATTTAACCGCTGGTGCAGGACAATATGTTTCAAAGGAAAAAAATAGTGCTCCAGATTTTATGGGATTCTGCCTGATTTAAATCAGCATTTGAAGCAACTTTGTTATTCAGTGACTAGCATTTGCCTGTGTCTTGTCTTCCCTCTTCCAATGCTGCTTCATTCTTTTACCTTCCACTTTCCCTTTGTTATGTCCAATCACTTCTGTTAGAGAAGCTCAAAGCCTTGCCCACTCTCCCATCTCTACAGTACAGACATCACCATGCTGGAAGAAACTCAAAGAGGAGAGATTTCTTCTTGGTCCCCAGAACCGAAGACCTAGCTAGGGCAAGAGCCAAATCCTCAGATATCAGACACAAAAGCTACTCAAATGCAGTTTATTTATAACCAGCACCATCATCTTTCTGCCAAATTGTTTGCTTTCCAAGCTTCTTCAAACGATCACAGCCATTGCCTATCAACCCAGAAATAAAATACATGGGGCGTGGGCTATATCTCAGGGGTAGAGCAGTTTCCGAGCATGCGTGAGGTCTTAAGTTTTACCCTCTGCACCAAGTAAAAGAGGAGGTGAGGGGACCTTCTCTCACAAGCTTACTAAACTGTTTTCAGGGACCCATTGTTATCCAACTTTATTGACATCATTTAAGTGTTTGTACCTGATACGGTGGTACACACCTATAATCCCAGCACTCAGGGAGGCAGAGACAGGCAGATTGTTATGAGTTAGAGGCCAGCCTGGTCGACAAAGCAAGTCCAGCACAGCCAAGGCAAAACAGAGAAACCTTGTCTCGGAAAAAAAAAAAAAAAAAAAAGTTTGAAAAGTGCCTAGTTATGAAGAAAGCCTTCAAGTTATTCCTCAAATGTAGGTCAGACAAAACCTCCTTAGCTTTGAGGGTTTTGTTGTTTTCCCTTTTCATCAGTGCTAAAGACTGACATGACAGGCTGTCGCGCCCCAGGTAAGCCCAGCCCCAACGCAGAGCCAGCCTTTTGTGCTGCAAATGACAGCTACTTTGAGAACATACTCACTTTTGCACTTTCCTTTTTTTCACCTGAAATCTGTGAACTTCTCTGGAAAGAGTAACTATGGAAGAATTACTCCCCTGATGACTGAAGAGCCACCCGGACCTTCTGTGTCAGTGCAGCCCAACATACACCCTCTGTCTGTTATTTGCCCAATATAAAGTAAGTACTTTACCCATACTGCCAGAGTATTAACCGTTGTCAGATCTGATGGGCAAGGGCTGTCTCATCGTCCTAAGCAATTAGCAACTTACAACTTACTATTACAGAGCACCCCGGTTTCCCCAGGGAGGCTCCTCAGACTCTGCTCACTAGGAAGGAACTAGGGTCTTATTATGGAGCTGCAATGTGTGCCTTGGTGAGACTAAGTGATGTTCATTTCTTCCAAAGGCATCTCTGATAGCAAAGTAATAGCTAAAGATATACTGAGTCCCCTCAACTGGCTTAACTTATCTTGTAGCAAATAACAAGTAAACATAATGCTTATGAAAGAGTAAAATAATCAAATGGTAATATATATATATCAAATAATAAATCTGAGAGTGTCAGAATCCATAAGACTATTAAGGTTTCATCACAGGTGAAAATTACAGCTGCAAAACAGGTTAAGCATGTTCTTCTGCTAGTGAGCCATGGGCATCCCCAAATTCCACCAAAGTTGCAAGTCAGACAAGATCTGCATAGCAAAAAAATCCTTCATATATTATGGATGTCCTGCCATTGGTCTATTCATATTAATTTTTAAAGCATCAGTTTATTCATAAATGTTTAAAGTATGCAGTACTTACCATAGATAGTGGTGGATCTCCTTCAAGAAGCCCTGAATGGCAGAAAATGAACTAGATGACTCCCTGAGGTCTCTCTATCTATCATGATTTTGCTAAACAACAAATTACTCAAAGTCCCCCTTGCCAGATTTGGGGAGGAGGAGATGAGATACTGAGATACTGTGCTGTCTTTCTGGGGTGATGAGCATGTCCTGAAATTTGATAGTGGAGATGGTTACAGTCTGTGGATAGCTGATACACCGCTGAGTTAGATACTTTTAAGCAGCAGCTGCATGATATGTGAATTATAGCCTAAAATCTGAGAAAGTAGTTAGTATTAAATATAAGCTTTTATTAGAATATTCCTTCATAGGAGGTATGTATATCTTTAACCACCACAGTCAAATTTTACTCACTATTTTGTAATATAAAAGACAATGTAGGATTGTGGCCTCTTAAGCAATGTGTTTCTGAAATACTTTGGACTTGAAGAATTCTCCATTATTCAGTTTGTTTTCTGTAACCAAATTAATAATATGTATTAGCTAGTCATAAGAGTGCTTCTTAAAAATTGAGAACATTGTAAATGCAATAAAGTAAATTACCTTTGACTTTCATTTTGTCAATGAAATCACATTGAGTGATTTCATTCAAGATGAGTGATTCTTGTCTATCAAAAGTTCATATTCATGAAAGGGATATGGACATCTCAATTCTAGTCCGGAATCTCAGTCTCAGAACTGAGCCTCTGAGGCCATTCAGAGAGCCAAAGAAAACTGCTAGCTTAATTTGGCCTTCTACTTACTTTTTAGTATCCCAATACAAACACACTTTTCAAGTCATCAGAGATCACTGAGTAAATGTAGAGTAGTTTGGTACACAACACCACAACCATCCACACAAACTGTCAAATATTAACTCCCTCTGTTTTCATCTTTCAAAACTGACTGAAACATTAAGTTTACTACTCTGGGGGTACTTTTATGGGCATAACACAGTCTTTTTGTGTTTTTTGTTTGTTTTTATTCTAGAGTACAAAAGGAATTATCTAGAACAGCTTCATAAATTCATAAATTAAAAAACGGTCGACTTACACATGAATTACCTCTCTTTAGAAACGTGAATGCATGCTAACCCTGTAAGCACAGACACACGGAGACCTGCGCACACATATACGTCATGCTGAGGAAAATGCATTATATGCACACGGATCTAGTTCTAACTCAGCGTCTTTACAATAATAGAGGAAATTCTGCAGATGTGCCGCCCCCCCCCCCCCCCCCCCCCGTAGTGACACACAGAGAATCAGGCTACAAAGGCTACGGAGAGCCTGGCATCTCTGCAGAAAACACAAAACGCGGCTCTGCTGGCAGGGGTCGCACAGCCCCTGGGGAAAAGCAAGGAAAAGCTTCCCTAGCGCAGAGAGGGGTGAGGCAAAGGACACCCCGGAGAGGGGAGGCGAGGCGGAGGGGAAACCGCGCGCCCGCCAGCGCCGGGAGCTGTCCGAGGTCCTGAAGGTCACTCACCGGCCAGAGCTGCGGCGCCCATGAGGCCGAGGAGCAGGGCCGGCTGCATGGTGCGGCTCGCCAGCGGAGCGCAGGAGGAGCGCGGGCGTGCGGGCTCCGCAGAGCAGCTGCGGCGCGGTGGGCGCGGGCCTGGCTCTTATGGAGGGCAGGCGGGGTGCAGCGCCCGGGGGCGAGCGGCGGGCGGGGGGGCCCTCGCTCAGCTCTGACGTCACGGAGCAGCCCCGGGGCGGCGCCGGCGAGCGGAAGCTCGGGCCGCGCGCGTGGCCGTGCGCTGGGTCCCAGCAGGTGCAGGCAGGGATGCGGGAAGCTGGCCAGGAGAGGCTCGCGCTGCGGCGCCTGCGCTCCAGCTCTCCCCTACCCCTCGCTCAGACCTCGGGGCCTGCAGCCCCCAGTTTGAGGCTGTGGGGTACGTGTGACTCTCAAGTGCGTAAACGACGAGGTCAGCTTTGGGTGTCCTCTGCCAAACGAGGAAGATCCTTTCTTGGTTCAGATGTTCTGTGTTTTCCCATCTATGATTCTGCCGTCTATTTGTGGAGACCTCCTCCCCCATGTGCATAGTTTATTCCGATGGACATTTAAAAAAAAAAAATCAGACAGGCCAAATGGATGCACTATAAAATTCTCTCTTTTAACCTCAATTTCCAAGTTCGGTTTCCTTTGTAAGCACTTTCTGTGGCTTAGGCCGAATTTAGCTTGGAGGATATGTAACCGGTGCTCCTCTCCTACCTCTCCTTCTTTCCCGCAAATGGTAACACTATGTTGCACCTAATGGAAATGTTGGTATTTAACCAGCTCTTCCTAATAGACAATTATTTAGTCTGTTACCCTTTGTATAGCAGACTCTGGGCAGGGGATGGAGTGACCCTCGTAGGAACTAGCACGTCCTTGAAAACCTGTTCATCTTTGCTTGCTTTTAAGTTGAGATAGAAACACGTTTTTAATTATGTGTGCAAGGGAGATGATAACATCTTCCAGATCATTTCTGACGTGGATTCTGTTAGCCTAATAAGGAATCAGGAAAATGTATCAGGCAAGCGTCCTGCCCAGAGAGATGCAATCTGCTCGGATAACAGATTTTGAGGAACAGGGAAGCCTGACTTGAGTTCTCTTTGGTCAAGGTGATGAAGTTGTCTACGGACGCAACAAAGAGAGATTTCCAGCTCCTTTTCCTGAGGCTCAAATTATTTTTGCACATCTGAGTATGCAGATAGATGCACCTTCCTGGAAGATCATTTTACCAAAACTGCAGCTACAGAATATAATATGTTTTAATATTTTTATTTATGGTTTTTTTTTCTGCATTCTTGGGGAGAACACAGGGCCAGGCAAGCACTCTAGTACTGTTCTATATCATCAAATTCAGAATATCAGAAGAGTCTTGAAATGGTATTTCTGAGATGCTGGTAAAATTTGAAAAGACATACAGATTACCTCACCCTATTGTGTTGTAATGGGAGAGTAGAAACTGCAAGAAGCAACATCAGGATTAATATGTGAGGGGCTGGGGATTTGACTCAGCAGGTGCAATGCTTGACATGATGGCCCCAAACCTAAGCAGACCCCAGGCCTTAGCATAACTGTCTCCATGATGGAAGTAGCATTCAGGCTGTAAAACTCAGCACCTACACAGCACCAGAAGCCAAAACTAAAACAAAGGCCTAATCAATCAAAGTCCAAAGTTCTGGGAAAGTCTCTAAATGTTCTAACCATGCTTTTTAGCTTCTGTAGTTGCACTTCTGGCTAATTGTTCTCATTAATAGAAGTATGTCAATCTGGACCAGGATTTTTGTGCTCAAAAGCTCACCCTGAGAAAGGCTCAGAGCTACCCTGAGATCCTGAGAACTCAGTGTGGTTGTTGGGTGCCTTGGCTTTAACCCATGTCTGAACAGTCTTCTCTGGTGAACACCCACAACAATGCAAGCCTGCTCACCGGACACACACACATAAGAGAACTACAAGGGGGTCTAAGAAGATGGCTCAGTGGTTAAGAGCACCTGCTGCACTTCCGAGGACCCAGGTTCAATTCCCAGCACCCACATTATGGCTAACAACCTCCTGCCCATAACTCCAATTCCAAGGGATTTGACCCCTCTTCTGGCCTCCTTGGGAACTGCACAGATGTACACAGACACACTTGTAGGCAAAACTCCCATCCACATAAAAGTAAATAAATCTTTTCAAAACTGTTTTAAAAAGAAAGTAAAATATGAACATAAAAAAAGCCTATTGGAGGGGGCTGGAGAGAGATGGCTCAGAGGTTAAGAGCACTGGCTGTTCTTCCACAGGTCCTGAATTCAGTTCCCAGGAGCCATTGGTGCCCTCTTTTGACATGCAGGCAAAATATTGTATAAATAATAAATAAATCATAAAACACACAAAAGTTATGAAAAAAGGAATTAGACACACACACACAAAGCCCATTGGCAGAGAAAGACTGGGAACTCTGGCCCACCTGGGCTATATGTAACAAGCAGAGAGAAAAGACACAGTATGGCCTCAGCGGAAGAGGATGTGCTTAGTCCTGATGTGACTTGATGTGGTGGGGAAGTTTGATATGGTGTGGGTGGGGAAGAGTTCCTCCTTTCTAGGGAGAAATGGAGAGGGGAAAAGAGAGACTGAAAGGAGAGGAGGGAAGGGGCTACACTTTAAAGTGAATGAACATTTGTGACCCAAAAGAATTTGCTTAAAAGCTCTGTAGAGCAGTGCACACTGGAAACAGGAGATAACTTTGTGTGATGGCTTGCCATTGGTTGAGGCCAGCCTGGACTGCGTAGTGAGCTCCAGGGTAGCCTAGGCTAGGAAGAGAAGAAGAAAGGAGCCAGGGAAGACTGCAGTGTGTGAGAGGTTCTCCCTCCATTGTTGCTACAACTCTTTAAATGTACCAAGTACTGGAGTTACTTAAACCTGCTCTTTCCTTGAAGTATTTGCACACAGGTTTTCCAATACTTTCCTTCTCTTCTTTTCCCCTAGAAAACCATGGGATTAAATCATGTTAAATTTGTCTTTTGGCTGCTCAGGTTAGGCTTGGGCTAAGTTTGTTCCTCATTAAGACAACCTTGGTGAAGGAATGCCTTTTTCGTTCTTGCCTATTAGTCAAGGGCACAGAGGCAGCCCTGCCAGCAGCCAATCATGACGTTCCCTTCTAGATTTCTTTGTACTGGGTTAAAGAGTTCTGGGAGTGGAGTGCCATGATGCACATTTTTGTCTCAGAGGAAAGAAAGGAGGAACACCACAGGAAACATGGCTTAGACGCTGAAGTAGAGATACAATCACAGTGTTTAATGATACCATGGTCCAGCTATCCTGGGAATCCTGTTTTGAGGTGATCCTTTCCTAACTCCCCTATAATTTCATCTTGAAAAAGAAACCAGCATTTGTGTGTGTATGGATATATCTCTAGAGATGAGTAGGCCCTGATGTGCTCTGGTTCAGGCCTGTTTCTCACTAACTCGGTGCTCATTTTCTCCATACTGCATCATTTTAATGACTCACCATCTGATGGCAAAGGTCACCTCATGTTTCTCTTTCAGCTGTCAGCCATTATTAGGGCTTTATACTTCCATACAAAATATCTAATCAATTGTCAGTTTTCACTTACAAACCCTGCTGGGATCTTAACAGAAATGACGCCATACCTATGTAACAATATAAAAGCAGCTGGCATCCTGACAATATTGAAAAGATTTACTTGTTTGATTGCTGATAATATCCTGGATATAATCTTATCTCAAATAGCGCAACAAAATTCCAGGAAAGGAAATAATGGGAAACAGTATTTCCCAGGAATTCTCTCAAAGAACTAAGGGGGACTAAGCACAGCTAGCCCCAGAGGTTAGGATTTAAAGAAAGCATATTTTTGGGGGCTGGAGCACCGTCTGCTGTTCCTAAAGAACCTGGGTTCAGTTCCCAGCACCCACATGGCAGCTCACAACTGACTGTAACTCCAGTTCCAAGGGATCTGACACCTTCACACTAATGCACATAAAATAAAATTGAATAAATTGTTTTTTAAAAAAGAAAAGTGTTGTAGTAAATTTAAAAAAAAAAGTGAGTGTTGAGCTATGTTTATTATTAGCCCTAAGATTATCATGGTGGTATTATCTAACCTGCCATCACAGGTAATAAGACACCTGTTAGATTTTATAATTTACCTTAGGCGGGGCAGACATTTCTACCTACACTGGCTGTCTCAGTAACCTCACCATTCACCTCCTAGCCCCCATCCAATGCCATCCTCCTTAACCATCTTCATCTAAACCCATCCATAATCCCATGGTACTTGCTTGTATTCTTCATCTGGGCCCTTTTATGCCATTATTGGAGTCCTTCCTCCAGGCCCATGTGATTTCCTCTGCACACTAACACACTGTAGTATCCTTCCTCCTCTCTTCCCCTCTGTTCCCTGAGATTCCTCTGTGTTCTAAAGCCTGGGATCCTTAGCCACGCCTACCTCAATCTTCCCTGACCAGGTATAGGCCTTTAATTAACCAATCAGGTATGTCTTAGGCAGGTTTACAAAACAAGGACAGACGTAACTAGGCCTTGACGGCCAGTAACACCCATCAGAACAACCTCCAACAAAAAAGCATAATTTTGTATATGGCTTCTGAGATGATTAGCCTTGAAAATGAAACCAACAAAGGGAATCTGATGGTGAAAATAATACACAGGGTTTAAAAATACTGAGAGAACAGGTAATGAAGTTGAGAAAATCCAGAAGTTAGCAACTACAGGTAGCTGCTACCTCCCTAGGAATGGAAGGCTATATCCACCCTGTAGCCCAGACACAGAAGCCACTTAAGAAGGCAAGATCTGGGGCCCTGGGAAAGGCTGCTGGGCAGCAGCTGGAAACAAGAGAAGCAGCCACTGCCAGAGACATCATGTCTTTCCTCTAAAGAGGGGGAGGGGAAGAAATACTTAGCTTTTTCTTCTTTTCAAGGCCAGTGCCTCTTAGCAACTGAAGCTACCTGGAAACAACAGGACAAACCAGGAAAATCATCTACGAGGGACAGTCTCCCCATAGAGAAGATCAGATCAGGGAGAAAACTGGAAAGCAAACAGACAAATGATAGATCAAACCATCTTGGAGCCCGGGCACTAACTGTGGATTTTTATTTCCCAATTCACTAATCCAACTCTTGTTTATATGACTTGCTGACTGTGTGTCAGGCACTGTGGTAGACCTTGTGGTCAAGGCCAGTGTGAGTAGCA